TGCTGGACGGCACAATGAAGTCTGACTTATGATGATTGGAGTTAATACCACAGAGAGACATCTGGCCCACCTGTTAGTGTTGTGCCGCCATGGCCCACTGAGTAGCAGAGCATTGGCTTCCCGCCGCTTTGCTCTGTTGCACGGCTCGATGCACATGAAGAACTCAACATGGCCTTCTGATGTCCTTTAGCAGTCGGATACGCAATTCATAAAAGAAATTAGACCAAGTGATGTTATGTTGGGCAACAGACCCATAAAAACCCAGGAAATGGCTGTTAATGGCCTCTGCATGCTCTAGTAAATGTAGTTAAACCTGATTTGTTATGATCTATATATATATTCTGTGTCGTAAAGCACAAAACGACAGAACAGTTCACTGTCTTTGAAATGAGTGGAGCCGAGCAGAGGAGTGGTCCAAATCTGTTCTAAAATTTTCACAGACTTCATCCTTTTCATTAACATCATTAAAATGCTTGTTTACAATGGACAGTGGGAAAGAATAATCTCTAATGCCATTAGTGATGGCAGCAACTCACTTTTGATAGCGCCCGCTTTGAAAAAAGGACGGCATCCCACTCTAATGGGTGGCGGTGCATTCACTGACGTCTCTTTTCTGTTTTTAACCCTCTCACATGATACTGCTGTAAGGATTCAACAGCAGAGCAGGATCTTTACTATGCATTATTCAACATTACAAACTGATTCACAATAGTAAATATGTTTATTTTTACAACATCTACTCCAGGAAATTTGTCTCAATATTTAAATTGGACAAAAACTTTTTTAGGTTCTAATTCATTAACATTGACATGGATTGATAAAGTTTCTCTATTGAAACATCCAGATTTTATAGAACATAACATTAATAAAACCATGTAGTTTTCAATCTTAAGACAAAAAATTACCTCGTAAAGAAACTCCTTTCATTAAACTAACACTAGTTTTTATTTATTACCTTTACATTTAAAACTTTGCTAAATTCTTCATCATTTTTAATGAAAGCTTTTGGAGCCACACTGGAGGGTCTGAAGTGGCCACACTGGTGTCCCTGGAGCTGGAGGTTGGAGACCCCTCCCTGTGTTTGACTAAAGACATTGATCCATTCATTTTCTATACACCCTTGTCCCTAATGGGGTCAGGGGGGTTGCTGGTGCCTATCTCCAGCTAACGTTCCGGGCAAGAGGCAGGGTCACCCTGGACAGGTCGCCAGTCTGTCACAGGGCAACACAGAAACAGACAGGACAAACAACAATGCACACACTCACACCGAGGGACAATTTCGATAGACCAATTAACCTGACAGTCATGTTTTTGGACTGTGGGAGGAAACCGGAGTACCCAGAGAGAACCCACCATGCACAGGGAGAACATGCAAACTCCATGCAGAAAGACCCCAGACTGGGTATCATTCTTGCTGCAAGGCAACAGCTCTACCAACTGCACCACTGTGCAGCTCTAAAGAAGTTAATCATTCATTCTTTTTTGCAAAATAGAACATATTTTATCTGATTTAGCGTTATATTTTGACTATGCCATCATACTCAGCTCCTTCAGACTTCAGCAGCAATTGGCAAACACCTGGTGGAACTGCTGAGCTCAATATAGGAGCTACTGCTCAGAGCAATGCAGTTTAAGTTTCATCATTAAAGGGTTAAGAGAGGAGCCATTTTGGGATGATTTCCTGGATGCGGATCTTCAGAAAGAACAGGAGTTTTTAAAGAAACAGAGACCCAATTTCAAGGTGTTAAATTACAAAGTCAAATTTCCTTTAAGTCACAATTTTATATAAAGCATTTTTAAGTTAACATAATTAGTTGCTTGTGTCTGTGAAGCACATGATACCAGCCCTTTAAAAAGCCTTAGCCTGTTGAAGAAGGCTGATTCTGTTCTGGGGACAACTGTGGAAACTTTAGAGATGATTCTTCTTAAACTGAAGAACTTTATGAACAACCTGGCATCCTCTTTTTAGACCACTGTAAAATAACAGTCTTCAGTCAGAAGCTTCTTTAGAGCTGCTACTCACAGCTATCATCATCTGTATCACAACTCTTTGAAAAGGCTTGAGTAATAAAAACTCCAACAGCATTTAATATTACATTGGAATTAACAAAATATAGTTGAATTAATAGTTATCCTATTAGCAGACTTTTTCTCCTTTTCTGCTCCTGCAGAGCACATCGCACTAAGATAAAAAAAAACATGTATAATTTTCCTTCCACTTGATATTTCTGCATTACTTTTGCCAATCTATCACATAAAGTCACAATAAACTAAAATGAATGATCCTGTAGAAAAAAGTGGGACATTTTGCTCTTTCAAAATAACTTCAGTAACGTTTTTTGTCATGAAATTTCTTCCAGACTACGTAACGCTTTTTTTTTTTTTTTTCTGACATTCATCCAGCGAGTGTGTACTCACCTTTGCAGTTTTTTGCAAGCTACTGGCGGTTCTGAAAGGTGCTGATGTAAATTTGCTATTCAGGGTGCTGATTACTGCCGGCAGAAGGAGTAGCTCCGAGATTTTATGTGACCACAGCATTCAGAGAAAATGGCCTGATAAAATTCACCTGGTATAACAAAAGAGGAAGATTTGGAACATGTTTTTATTTTAGGGAGCGGTATAGATCCTGCATTGAAAAACAATCCAAATAGCTCGTTACTCCTAACTCTGCACAGAAAATGCAAAAGAAAAGTTAAATTTCCTCCCTTTTGATGCTGTGAAGTAAATCTCAGTGGAACTATTTTCATTTTTCATTTATCTTCAACTTATCATTTAAACTGTTATGGGAAAATCCCGTCATTCTGCGAAGGCAACTTCTGTTTTCTGTGAAGAATGCTGGCCAGCTTCTCACACACACACACACACACACACACACACACACACACACACACACACACACACACGCACGCACGCACACAGAGCAACCGTTGATTGAAGCATAACTGCCAATCAGTTATTGAACAGGACAAATTTCACACACACATACGCGCATACACACATACATACACACATACACACACGCATGTGCTCCGGCACACAGATATCTCTCCTGCCAGACCATTAAACAAGAAAGCAGCTCCTTTGGCTCCCTTAATGGAAATTGCTATTTCAAAGCGTTCAGAAAGAGATGTTAACCTTCTGGTATACTTGTGGCATTAAAAATGGATCAAAGCAGCTGAGCTTTGATGTCAATGGAAGATTTTATTTGGGTCATGGCAGCAGGGAGAGGCGAGTGTCTCTTCACTGCCCTCTGCTGGGAGAAGCTGCTCATTGTTTCTAATTTAACATGATTGATGTTGCTTTTTCCTCTGCTCTGTGTTGTCATTGCTTCATGCATTTGTTGAGTATTTAAAACACAGAGAGATTAAAAAAAAGCTTCAGAAAGAGCAGATGGTTATTTTTTGCTTCTCACTCATCAATCAGATTGTTTTGCAACATGAGAGCTGATAACTGCCTGCTCAAATTGTGTTGGAATAGAGCTGAGATACTCCTCTGATTGGATGGAGGGGTGTTGAACTTTCGACCCCTAGGGGCAGGCGCAGGCTAACCCCCCTGCCCCCACTCCACCAAGCTCAACGTGAGCCTGGGAACAAACACACTGTCAAAGAGATAAATGAGTGTGCAACACGACAGCCTAAATGTTACTGTGATGCCTCCATGTTGAGACCGTGGGCTTCAGGCAGACAGAGAGCCGCTGACAGTAAGAGCTGCGGATCTTCCTTGAGATGGTGATTGTGTTCAGGTTAGCGCTGCTGTGTGGATGTGTGTTTAATGTGTGTGAGCCATCGGTGGGGTCGGGAGGGGGGCTGAAAGGAAGAAAGCACATAAATAATTGATGACTGATGCCGCCTTGCATCTGTGCTTGCTGTTGTGGAGTTTCTTTAAACTAGCAGGGTCGTATTATGCTATGATGTAAACACAAAAATATAATGCTTCTGGAAAGTTTACATCTTCTCAAAACATATTTTCTGACTGGCGGTTCAAACAAGTGGACAGATCTTCTAAATGCTGGTCATTTAGAAGAAGAAGAGACTTTTTTGGTTTGTTTTGGCTCCAACTTTCACTTAGAACCTGTAAATAAACCTTTTCCTTAAGCCACATGGGACCAGTTTATGCTTTGTGCCAGCATTTTCATGAACGATCATAAAAATATGAAATCATACATTATTTTATTAGTTTATATGCTATTAATTGAAAATGTATTATGATTTTCATTTGTTTTGGTTCTGATCAAATGACAAATTATTCCAAGTTTCTTTATAGTAGACTGAGCAAAATGTAGAAAATAACTTTAATTTTAAAATAACTTGAACTTTTTGTTGAAAAGGTGTCCAACACATTGGGATACAAGTTGACCACTGGTTGGTATAAAATGGCCGCTGCCAGTAGATGCCACCATTTCATTTTCCAGTTTGACCAATGCTATGTCACAGAATAGCAACGTTTTGTTGAACAACAACCAGAACTGATCATTAGACAATTCTTCAATCAACTCGGATCACTGGCAGATTAATGGCTTAATGTTAATTTAAGTGGGAAAGAAGAATCTATTCACTGAGCGAAGGCTGAAAAGATTTCCAAAGGTTAATTAGTAGAATATTGGTTTGCAAGTGTGAAACAGATGCAGAGTTTCTCCGTTTTTTGTTTTGTTTGTTTTGTCTAAGGGGGTCACAAACAAGTGGGTTTGGGCTATTTGGAGTTTCTATACATGACTGACTTAATGTATTTAGCCCTCTCCTTTTGGCAGACCCTTTATTTTTCTCAGTTTGCCTCATTAAGACTTTGTGAAAATTCTCCAGCTTGTGTGGACGACGCTCTCTTCTGATGAGACTCCAAAGTAACAGAGGAGTTGGTTGACGTCTCCCAAGTCTTTGGCTGTCTTCTGCTTTGTTGCTGCCGTGTTGTCGGTTTGCCCAGACCCTCCTCTCTTTGACGAGACTCGAGTATACTCCTCCCAAAATCCTTTATCCTCGTTTGTTTTTTTTATTCCCTCACTCAACTCTGGCTCCCAACACCTCCCCTCCCTCTGCCTTTGTTAAAGACAGCCCCTCATACACTCCCCTATCCCTCGCTCTCTCTCATGCGCTGTCTCTCTCGCTCTCTCATTATGCGCTCATCCATTCCGCTGGCTGTGGGCTGAGAAGCCAACGTTCTACTCCGGAAGCGAGTGTTTGGGAAGCCCAGCGATATGCCACTGCTGTTTTCCCCACAAAAACAGGAAGAAAAAAAAAGGTGGACCAAAGTGTCAGGATCAGCTTTTCCTTCTTCCACCACTCCTCCTTCCTGCTCACTTGCAGCCTGTCTCTTTTTGTCCGCTGACTTCTCTCATTCATTCACTCCCTGCCGCTCTGGCTGGCCGACCGAGCGTGCTGACACCGGGACCGCTACCTGCTGCCTTAGGGATTTGACAGCGCTCCGGGAACCTGCTGCCTAGTTTGTCGTTTTTACGGCCAGTGAATGGTGGATGTACCTCATGGATGAACTGGAGTATACAACGGACTGGATGAGGGAGTAAATGTTGGATACCTGAGGATGAGCGTTTCTTTCCTGACCTTACCAGAACAAATGGAGAATGAAGGATTTTCTTGACCAATTTTCACTCTATCAGACTCAATCTATATCAGTCACTGAGTTTCTTCAGTCTTTATTTTGTTGCACATCAGAAGCAGTGTCAGCTGTGGACCGTCCGGTTGAGTGGGACTGCTCACCTATCTTAACTTTTCCCCCCTCTGTGACACTTCCTCTGAACTGCTTTTGGCCTCAGTAGGGCCGGTAGGGCTGCAGGGGAAGGTGGCAGTGGCTTACCCCCCCATAAGACCAGCTCGAAATAAAAGTGCACTGAACCATAGAGCAGTCACCGACGCATTGGAAAAACAAGTCTTTTCCTTGCTCCTGGGAGCATAGTGTTCCTAGTAAAATATTCAGACGCTTCCCAGCCAACCACCTCAGCAGATATAAACTTGTTCCAGTTAGGATGTCAGCATTGGAGGGATTTTTGTGCTTGACCATCAACCAAAGAAGCCAGTCTGTTGGAAGCAAAGAGTTGTTTGTAAGATAAAAAAAAGGAGCATCAAACGACATCCACAGGGAACTTGGAAAGCCACCCCCGCTTTGAGAAATACTTTTGACCCATGCGAAGGATCTTGTTTTGGTCTGGAAGTTTTTTGAAGGACCCCCTGACCTCTTTAACAATCAACTAATTACGAGTCAGGGTCACAGAGAGGAAAGGACGAGATTCTTTTTGTGGATTTACCATCGACCTGGGGTGGAAAGTTTACATGTGGATATCTGACAATCCTAAACACCCACATACCTAACACATACACATTTCTATCTTATAGATCCATGCCAACAGCTTTGTAACACAAATTGCAAAGTACATTATCACCACCTACTTAAATCTACACACGTCTGTGCTGTAAGTATATACGGATAGTTGCACATTAAATTCCCATTAGTTTGGGTGTTTGCCATAGGGGATAGAGGGAATGGAGGTCATTCGGACAGGTGGGGTGCTGTATGAGTCGCCGCTTACACTGTCTGTCCTTTAGCCCCAAATGGATGTTATTATCTGTGCAAAATGTGCCGCTCGCAATCCGCTAAAAGCTTTCCGCTGCAATTCTCCGACAGAAACAGTCACCGGGTCCCTGTGACAGTGCACGGTTGGAACCGCAGCTGAGACTGCATCCATTACTCATCTTCTTTTGTTTTTTTTGAGTTTTGTTTTCGTTGTCTTCCACTCTCACTCCACCGCCATTATTTTTTCCAACGGGTCCCTGGGCGCCCCCCGGCGCTCTCCTCGGCCCATCGTCTCCCCCGCCCTGGAGGGGAGGGGGTCGCTGGAGTGGAGCATGAGCGGCTGCCACTATCCTTCGCCGGCGCCGGAGCGGGAGCGCAGGTACCAGCACAAAGTGTCGCTGGTGGTGCGCTACTTTATGATCCCCTGCAACATCTGCCTAATCCTGCTGGCCACTTCCACGCTGGGCTTCGCCGTTCTGCTGTTCCTCAATAACTGTACGTTTGCTCACCTCAAGCACACACTTTTTGACTCTGTTTTTGTGCTGTTTTCCTCTGAGTTTTCAGCCACTACAACGGTTTCTCTCTCTGGAAACATAATCCATAACAATCAGAAATGTTGTGTTTTCTCTTGGTTTATGTGACATCGTTCTTACATTGAATGTTCTTGTTGAGGCAAAACCCCGAACAAAACCTTGCATACCACACATCTCAAAGCCTTATCTACCCTTGAAATAGGAACATCAGATCAGTAAAAGTCAAAGTCCACCTTTCCTTGACTCTGGCTTCGCAGACTACTCTGTATCTCTGCTCTAAAGCTCTGACATTTACTTTGAACTGTGAGGTATTTCATGCAGATTAAAAGCCTTTGGTGGCTCAGTAAAAATAATTTTTTTGGTTAGGAAAAACCCAATCTTGCGTCTCTTCTCACTGCAAACACATCTTTCCGATGTATAATAAGAAAGGAGTAGCTCATTAGCTGCCAGTGAAAGTGTTTTTGGAGAGGATTCTGTCAAATGGTTCTGAATGTGAAGATAATTTATTTCATTTATATCTTTCATTTATAGTTACAGCCTGAATACTTGAATCACATATTCACAGGTCCTGTATACAAGTCACTTCTGACAGTTTTTTACTGAGTGAAAAGTATTGATTTATACTTAGGTTAAGTACAAATCAGCAGTTTGTTAAAATACAGTAAATGCAAAAGCTACCTTTTTGGTGGAATAATTCACTCTACTTCTCTTTTACACGCTCTGTTTCAGTACAGCAAGTTCAAACTGTGCAAAAGGTGAAATCTCCTTAACTCTCCAAAGTGGGGCTATTACTTATGCAAGATTTGCACCTCCTAATCACCAGCAGATTACATTAGGTAACTAAATTTGATCACTAAGTACCGCTGTGATAATGTTAGAAATGGTGGTTAATGTGGGCTGAAATGCTGTTTGAGTTACATTTCTTTAGCGATGTCATGAAATGTGTGGTTGTTGGTGGTGAGGAGAGACGCTGAGACCCAGGTTATGGTGATGATAATTTTAATGATGAAGGTAGCTCAATAAACAGTCCAAGACAGGCAGCACGGCGAGAGGCAAGCACACAGCTAGATGCCGGTAGCAACTGACTACAGAGACTGAAACACTAGAGCTGACGCCGACACAGGACTTAGCAGTTCCACTGCGACGACGGACAGACTGATGCAAACCAAGAAGTACGTAGACAATTGACAAACTTAGACAAGGACTCGACAAGAGACAAAGACAAGAGGTGGGGTTAAATACACAGGGAACGTAATCAGGGAACTGGATACAGCTGGGAGCAATCAACAGGGATGACAGACTCACAGGGGAAAATGGACTAAAACACAGAAAAACCTCAAAAATAACTACACAGAAAATACAGATCATAACAAGCGATATGACACTGTGTTTTTTGTTTCTATTCTCTTTCAGTTGGCATGAGAGGTTTGGGTTCTCACAAGATAATATGCTTGAGTGAGAATGGTGAATGGCGGTGGTGAATATCTGCTCTTTATACAATAAGGAAAACTTCCTAAAGAAATGAAAATTCTTTACTTGAAACAGAAAAGGAATAAACATTTTAATTTAGATTAATGAAGCAGCAGGGATCAGAAGATTTGAGTCTACTAACCCAGTTTTGACCTGCTGATACAGATTTTAGGCCATTTTGATTGAACTTTATTTTACAGTGTTTCTTTTATATGGTCTTGTCATTAGTCCTTAATTATTTGTCAGGAGAGGCAATATCACACTGTGTGTAAGAGAAGTGTCAGTGTAAACCAGTTGGTTTTTTAAATGTTATAAAGCAAAGACAAAACTGTAAAAAAGTTGTTGATTTAAACAGTCTTTAGCTTCTGACATTGGCTTGATAATTCATAAAAGACGGTGAGGCATCGATCAATTGACATCGTACCAGAGATGGTTCCTTTATGTCCAAATAATCCAAATTTCAAACATATGAAACGATGACGGAGCAGAATGATCAACATGACGTCTGTCTGTCATAACGGCTTTAATGTCTCCATACAACAAACAGGATGTCTGTAAATGGCTTCTTACACTTCTGTACTTTAAATTAGGGCTGTTTTAAATAATTATTTTAGGAATTGAGTGATTAATCTAACAAAATATTGTACTGGAGCTTAAGGTATTAAAATTAATACACATACATAATATATCTACATAGCTGGTGAAAAGTCAGATCAACTCAAAACTTTCTCTGATTCCTCATTAAAATATTATGGAAAGGATGCAATGAAAAAAAAAAATATATATATATATATACACACACACACCCGCATATATTCTTCAAATCTTTACTGTCCTCTGCAACAGCAAACAGCCTGTAGCTCAATATGAACAACTCCTTAAAGATTTGCCCCCTGTTTATTTGAAATATTGGGCAAGATGTCAGTGAATCCATAGTTCTGACTTTTTGCATGTACCTTGAGTGAGGGTGAGTCCTTCATAAGTTCTCTGTTTCTTTATCAGTCCAAACCAAACAGACATAATTAGATTTAATACACTAAATTAGAGGAAGCCCATCTTCACCTCTAATATGTTAGTGAGCTGAAAAAACTGGACAAACTGATGAGCCCGAAAAAGCTCTATTATGCTGCCAAGAGCCCATTCATTGTATGATAGAGATGTGTGTGCGTGCGTGTGTGTGTTTAGTAGGACAGGTGCTGTCCCCAGATTTACAAATTTTGTTGTCACCATGTGGGATGAGGCATGTCCACACATACATAGATAGTTTGTTTGTTTCCCCCTCTTAAACTTCTCTTGCCCGCTCAGACACACACTCTCTTCATCATTCTGCCCAACCATACATCAGCCGCAGCAAAGCGAAGGTGGCACACATGCAAAAAAGATAAATGCGCACACACAACTGTTCTTGCACGTGGGTAAATGTCACGGCCAGACACTTATTGATTTGCTGGAGATATCGGGTGAATGATGGCAGTGTTGTGACATTCACACAGGCCCGGGAACTTACACAGGCCTGCCAGGTGTAAAGGGAGATGGAAGTGGCTGATATGTTTATGGAAAGACCTTATCTTGTCCTTTCGTTATGGAAATGTGAAGAAATCGTTTAGCTTCGCCCGGCATCTCGGCTCACTTTGTACTAAAGCTTCTCCTTTCAGATTTGCCTCACATGACGAGTGGGCTCTGTCTGTCTCTGTTTTTTTTTGTGCATATTTAGACATGCTTAGAAAGAACCAGAGGAAAGTGCAGCTCCTTATCCTTCCTCTTGTACGTCCACTCATGCTGGTTTTCTTCTTCCTGACGTTTTTGATGTGTTCCTGAATCTCTTCCCAGTAGATGGAAATCAGTTACCGTCATGATTGACTGCGAAGCAGCTTCAGCAGACAATTCATTATTCACCTCTAGCACCAAACTTGCCTCTCTGCTCCCCGATCTTCATTTTTTTTTCTTTCCTCGCCCCCTTTCTTTCTCACACACAAACACACTTCCATCCTGAAGCCACGACTGTTGACAAGCAATTTTAAGCAAACCCAAATTTAAAATTGGGCTCTGTCTCGCCCTGGGGAAGGGGAGCACAGAAGTCCTAGGAAGGTTTCAGCTCTGAGTGTGAAGGAGGTTGAGGTGTGTGCTGGTGGACCCCTCCTCCACCCTCTTTAGAAAATAAAGAAGAATAAAGAATGCCACAGCGAAGGTAATTAAAGTGATGTGTTGCATCTTCCTCATTATCCCTCACACAGTGCGCAGAACATGAAAGAGGCATCTGAGTGGTTGCTCAACCTTTGTTGCACATGTGTGTTGGTGTGTTTGTTCGGCTCACTGGGGTGAGTGACTCACACAGCCGGATGGACTGCCAGGGTGGAGATGGTGGTTCAGCTGGGTCGAGTTTAGCGCTACGGTTTCCTGGTATGCTTTAAATCGGTGGGCTATATCGTGACGCTTTCTGCAGGAATCTCCTTGGAAGTGCATCAATTTGTTGAAAATGTCTGGCATTTTAGGGAACATAAGCAGGACAGATATATTCTTGTACATCAATTAAAGGGGCCACAAGATATCATGATATGAAAACGCCACAATATTTATTCAGCAACACAAAGTTGGTCCTGTAAAGAGCAACTGGATTGCAGTCAGCATGTGACTTTATTCAGAGAACTAAATTCCTCTCCATGTCCATACTGATTTTGGCTGTTTATCCACTTTGTTTTACTATGAGATGCAGTTTTCACTACAAACTAAAGGAGGAACAACAAGGTGGTACACCAGCTACTCAAAGGGCTGAAAAGAAATACTAACATCATTATTAATGTCGTCTCTTTTCGTCCCTGAGGGATAAATAATCCAAATGAGGTGAACAGCAGATATGCCTTTATGTGCTCCCTTATTTATCTGCTGTGTCTTCAGCGCAACACTTAGCATGAGAGTTTTAATGTCAAAGAAGATTCTAGAGGACCTTAATGGAAGAACACAGATGAAAAATGTATTTGACAATGCCTTTGCAGTTGAAGGTACAGTGAGCAGACTGGGACTTATCTATCATGGCTAATTGTAAGCTATTATTATAATCCCTGTGTGCTTTAAGCCTGACAATGACAATCTTATTTACATTTGAAGCTCTTATTTTAAAGAAAGAAAAGAAGTAGTTCTTCAGTTTTTATCCAGTTGTTATGAGAAAGTTAGCTAGTTTACCTTCGACTGGCCAATTTCTTCTGGAGGCGTGGCGGTTTTTATTTTTCCCCAATCACTGACATTTGTCCGTGACATATGTAGTGAGGCACTTGGATGTTATGAAGCTTACCAGAAATTGTTTGCACTGTAAACAACCATCCTCCTCTGTGAAGAGAGAACTGATCTGAACAAGGCGGCTGGTTGGGTTAAATATTTGGAGATTCATCACCAACTGAACGGCTTCCTTCACGTCCTCTGCTGCCCTTGCTAAAACTATAGGCAGAGTACAATCTAAAACTCAGCAAAAGATCAATGTCATCCTTCACCACTCCTCCTGTTCACTGATTGGCTCAGTCAAAAATGGACTGGAGACGATCCAAATCAACAGGAGGAAAGCTCAGACTGAGAATGGAATGGCCAGGCTAGAGTAAATGGGTAACTTTGGGGAAAAAAACTTAAATGTTCAAACTAATCAAAATGAAATAAGATATTCTATTCTGAACATATTCAAGTATTAGAGGCCCCTTAGATTCAGATAAAAATAGCAAAAAGAGACTGGTGAAGTGATTCCAGAAGCATAGAGTTGGGGCTGCTACAAGCGGACGGTCCAGGTTTGACTCTGAGCCCAATTAGTTCATCTTCCTTTTCTCTCGGTACATCCCGTTCTGTGTAGAGACCTGTCAAATAAAAGCCACAAAAACAAAGCATGACTCAGTTTGTCCAAAAAAACTTCTGGTGAATTCAGTATTCATTCAGAATTCTGTTGACTCATGAGCTGAATGTGTTTACATCCTCACAACAATCCATTCCTAGAGCAAAATAACTTCTCACAGTTCTCTCTGATAATGTTTCTGTCATATTTTATATCTATACAACATGCATACATAATTATCACACTTGATGTTTCCTATTTGCTGCTAAAATGACGAGCTTTTTAATCAGTTATTCTATCCACAGCGCTTAATCCGCTGTAATTTGAATATACCATTATCTAGTGAACAAACCGTTCCTCCTTACTGCCTCTGAAATGAGAACATCGGCTGCCTAATATCAGAAATTACACACTTTACTTATTCAGATTGTATATAATATTTCCTTGGGGATGGAAAATAGCTTATTCCCATACTTTTGACCCTATAATTTAGAAATAATCATTCAGTGTAGCAGCAATAAAAAAAAAAGTTTGTTTTCTGATTTATTCGCACACCCTGCCGTGTAAAATGATAAGAGGCCACTTCACTTAAAGCAGCCAAGTTGTGGAACCTGTGAAGGTCTTAGGTTACAACAGGCCGTCCAGCTGAAGCTTTCCCAGCCATTTGACACTCCAGCTCTGATGTTCTGTACTCCCACACACCGGGCCACCGTATGTCATTGTCTTGGCGGAGCAGCATGATGTCATGTGATGTATTACTGGGGGAAACTTTCAGATTTACTCCACATGTGTCTGCAGGTGGGTTGGAGCTGAGTGTTTGTTCCCTGCTCCTTCATTGTTGTGAGCATTTGCTGTCTTATCTCGAACTTTTCAACCAGACAAGAACATCAAAAATAAATCCCTCTGTCCTCAAATCCTTGTTGTGCTCTTGCACTATGCGGAGTCGTGTCGTATGTTTGGGGATGATTAGGAGAAGCGACTGTCACGACACGGTGATGATGTTGATATTGCTGAAACTCACTCCTGTCCGATTAGCTCTGCCTTATCCCTGCAGGGTCCAGCCACACTGTTCCAGAGGGTTTAGATAGAGAAGCACAAAGACGAAATGTGTTCGCTTTCTTTCTTTTTTTTATCTTTCTTTTTACTTTTGAAGCAACTCAGTTACTTGGCTTTAACCCAGAGGAATCTCCAGATTTCCCCAAACTAAACTGTTTCTGTCTGTTTGTGTCTCTTTCAGACAAACCGTCTCACTTCACTCCGGCCCAGCCTCCTGATGGTAAGTCCTCCGTTCTGTCTTTGTTGGGTTTCTGCAGAGTGACGCCTCAGACAGCAGACCTCTGAAGAGGGTGGCCTCCTCTCTACCAGATTTAGCCGCACTGCATTTTGTTTCTGTGCCGTTGGTACGGCGATCGCTTTATCATTTCTGCTCTGTCCCTGATGACTTGATTTGATCTCCTCTGCACAGCTAGTTAGGATGAAGCTCCATGTCTATAGTCAGATAATGCACCTTCCTGTCTCTGTGAACATCCCAACATTACTTCATGCACCTGGAGAAAACACAGGCAGGAAGCGTCACTTTCATCTTGGCTTGTTATCCGTATGTTCTCTTCCCAGGCGACGGATATAAATCTCGCGCTACGGTTCTTTATGGTTTCAGTTTTGTTCTTGGCCAGAAACACGAGCTGCTAATTTAACAAAAAGCAACAGCCTATTTCTAAAAAAAATGTAAGTCTGAGAGCTTTAATTGGAGGAAAACAGCTGGTTTTCAAGCTGCTATCATGAATATTTGTCAGCAGTAACACAGTTAGACAGTGTTTTATAGTTGGGCTGATCTTTTCTTTTCTGGCGGGAGAATCCCGCTCCTGCCTTGCATAGATGGACACAGTTGCCAGGGACAGCCTCCTTTTTGAAGGTGTGGCATCATTTTGAGTTGCTCGGTGCAGAGAAAAGTCTTCTGATGATCCCAAAACCTCTGATGGACAAAAGATTGCAGAGTGAACTCTGAATCTGTTTCTGATAATTATACAGTCGATCAGAGGAGAAACCAAAACTAAAAGCAGCTGGTGACACATGTCACTTAAACTAATCAGATTAGAAATTGTTGGGAGATAATTATCTGTTCACCGTAGAAGTGAAATGATTGTGAGTTGTTATGAGAATATTGGATCTTTCTCACATTGCTCCCCATCCCAAAGGTCTGGGGTTCAACTCCAGCTCTGTCTGAAGCGTCCATTTGTTTTGTGGTTTTTGTTTTCTGACTGATGCAGTTGTCCCGATGAATGATTGGTTCTGGCAGAGAGGTCTCTGTTGGTCTGTTTCTGACTATCCTGCTGAAAGATGGCACTCAGCACAATTGAGCATCCTGCTCCCGCCTTGCATTGAATTTTCCTCTACAAAAGAAATGAGGTCCTGCATTGAGCCACTCATTTCCCATGTATTAAAGTTTTTGCTGCCTGAAGGACACAGTTTGTTTCTGCACTAGTCAACCGTTTAAAAGCCGTTCCTGGCACTTAATTACATTTCCAATAGTTCTGTAGGCTTTGCACCAGCAGCCTACGTTGGTTTAATATGCCAAGGAAAACAAAAAGCAAAGTCTCCAATCAGCGGGGTAAGCCTGCCCTCTGGGACCCGGTTTCTCTGGGTCATTTAACACTAGTTAGACAATTAGAGTTGGCCCAAATATGGCAGCGGGCCACGGTCCCTCTTTTTTTAATGTATGGTTTCTGAAGGAGTCAAGAGGTTTTGGGAAAGATGCTTGAGAAAAGCAGAGTGCTAATGCAACTATGCCATTATTCAAATTGGCTTCAAAGAGCACAGAGCTCGTTCCACTGAACTTGTCCTTAGAGCCAAGGACGCTCCACTCCACAGTACTTAATTACAGGAAATCACAGACAAAATACCAAGGAGCCGGCATTTTTAAACAGCCTAGTTTGTCTCTGAAATGCCGTTGATGAGATGTCCTTATTAGCACGAGGAGAGAGTGCAGAAAGTCAAAGAATTTCCTTCTGCAAACACTGAAGAATCGTCTGGGGGCTTGCTGAGGAGAAATGTGTAGGTTTGGCACAACATAAAGCAAAAAGCATTTTGATGATATGTATGGTGTGTGCCATACACAAATAGCTGATGAATCTTCCCCAATGAATGGCCCATAATCACTAAGTCCAAAAAGTGACAAAAGTCATAAAGCAGCCTTTAATTAGCTGGTTTCTTTGAAAGCTCAAAGGAGCAGTTGCTTAGCTCAGGCCACAGTCATTATTGCCTGTCGTCTCCTGATAATAAGACAGTTGTTGCGTGTTTAGCCAAAGCTGGAAAGCTCATAGAATTTGCAGTTTGGGGGATTAACATTGGACTTGGGGGAATGGGGCTTGGCTGAGAGAAATGCTTGATAAATGAGGCTTTTGCCTCAAGCTGATTTAGAAAAACATGGACAGTACTTTCCCCGCCGGCCAAGGACAAGAAGCAGGAGTAAAGCTGCGATAGCCATCTATTATAGGTTAATGTCAAACTTCAGACGGGATGTTGATTGTGGCCAAAAATAGTCGTAATTGAACAGAAATAGATTTACTTTTCTGTCTCAGTGTTCAGTGGGAAAGTCACTGAAGATGGCTCCCAGGAGGCATCTTCAGTCCCTCCTGGGCCTTTCATTTCATCCAATTTCAGCCGGAGGTGAGTGACTAAACAAAGACCAATCAGGATTCAATATAGCCCAGAGACTGGGAGGAAGGAAGGTGTAATGGAAGAGTGGAGCCTTAGATAGTTCAGAGGTCTCTAGTGACTGCCACCATCTTCAGCACCACTTGCCCAGCAAGAGCCCATTTGCAGGGAAGCTTTCAATTTCACATTTGGTCGCTGACAGGTCTCTCCAGAGGACTGACAGTCAAAATAAACTCCCGGTCTGAAATGTGATTTGATCTTAGATGGTGGGACGCCTGCGAAAGAAGTGCTAGTGGGCTCACTTATTGTGGAAAAACATTACCAGGAACCAACAGAACCTCTGAGAGAAAACGGAAACCCAGTGCATCAGTTCTATCACCTCTTTCAGATTGACTGAAGAACGGTTACAGCGTCCCTGTAATTTATTCTGCCGAAGCCTTTTCCCTCTGTTCTTGACAGTAAGCCCGACATGCAAAGAGGCAGAATTAATTAGGACTCCTTGGCCTATCTTAATTAAATCTTTTCACATCGTAGATTTCACACAACAGTAGAATTATCTACCTCATCTTTCAGCCGGGGCGGGGAGGCTGACAGAGAACGTCTCACATCAAGATATCAAAAGTGAGGCTGAAAAGTTGCCTTAGGATTATGATTATCTGTGGCTGTGTCAGGTTCATACAAAGAGGAGCTTGGTAGCCCAGTTTTATGACGAGTGGTGATATAATTAGGTGGGCTTAACTTTGTCATGCAAATTGCACAAATCTTCCAAAAAACAGAGCTGAACTCCATACATGTACGTCTTGTTGCACGGAGCATCACTACAAGGAAACAATAAGAAAAAAAATAGTAAATTCAATAATTTTCCTAAAAGTTAGTAAATATTTCACATATTTAGGTGGACAGATTGAATGATTGTATCTGGTGTCTCTGCTCTGTGGCTGAAACAGTATTCAGTTTAATTAACTGCAGTTTATTTATCTCTCACAATTCAGCCCAATTCAGTGTTATGATTCCTGAGAATAAAAGATTTATGATACATAGTAAATAGCTGTGGCACAATTAATGCAAAACACGAAAAGTATGAAATACATCAGTTGTTCTGATCAGCATGTCATTAACTCCATCAAAAGAAGAAAAAAATCTTTTTTTTTTCATTAATAAAAGAAACTTTCAAAAGGCATGTTTACTTGTATATGGAAAAGCAATCACTTGCTTTGGCTGTAACTGAAAATCTAAATTACCGTTATATGATGAGTATGAGAATGCTAAAACTATAGCTAAGCTATAGTGGTAATGGTACAAAAGAGATTATCATAATCTAAAATGTTGCAAATCAATGATGAGAAACCTTACAGCCGATGTTAGTTAGTTTAGTAGCTAGCTAGCCAGCTAAGAAAGTAGCTACAAAACTAGCAACATCAGAGCTAGTCACAGAAAGCAAACCCTTAAAGACAAGTTATATGTGAGTACTATCCACACTGGCTACTATTCAAACCAAAAGATTAGGCCCATCCTTCAGATACAGTTTACACTCAGGCTTGCCTCATCTCACCTGAGCTTAACCACTATTGATCTGCCGAGATAGCTTAGAATTAGATGTCCAAAGAGAGAAAAACAGCAGCTGCAATGAGAGAGAAACCAAGCTGGAAAGTGCAGCACTGTTTGCTTTTGATCCTCTTGACAGGCAGTAATTGTTTATGTAGTTAACAGTGCAGGTCTTCTTTTATATGCCCTGCAGCTGTGAAATAAACCTGACTTATTGAAAATGCAGGTGATTCACAGGCTGCAGAGCTGGAAGGATGGGTGGGTTTTTGATGTGGATGCTCAATATACTGAAGCATCTGTTGATGCTGTCAGGCAGAGTCTCTGTTCACGTATCTGATTCAGTGGTAGGTCTCTGATCAGGAAATCTGCAAGTGACATGTCAGCCTTAAGTGAGACTTTTAAATGTTGTCCTTTTGCCAGATATCTCAGTCTTGAACTGGGCTGCCACTCAGAATCGCCGCTGCACAGCAACAAAGATCCTCTTTATGTTGCTTTGAAGTTTGTAGTAAATTTGTCTCTGCTGTTAGGGATTGTTCTGACGCTTTCCTTCAGAAGAGTATTAGGACTGGGTAGCAACAGGGTAAGCAGTCTGAGAGTCTAACCACCACGCGTTAAAACCATGTTTGAGTAAAACAAAACACATTCTGTTTTTGCTGTTAAAAAAAAAAAAAAAAAATCTCCTTTTTGTTACAGTATTTTTTTAGAAGGGGAGCTGCCTCAAGTACCTTAATACCTTAATATGGCTTACAGGATGATTAATCAAATTAATTGATTAATTTATACTATATTTTGGGTCCGCACATATTTGGGTAAAACAACGAGATGTTATGTCATTTTTTTTAAATACTAAAAAAATAAAACGTTTTGATTGTTTGTGGTTACTGATCATCATGCAAAGACATTTATGTAAATCCTCATGAAATAATCAACAAGAGTCTTTTAAAGGGATAGTTTGACTATTTAAAGTTAGATTATTAAGCTTGCTTACCTCGTTGCCATGGCGATGAGTTTGAGAGACCCATTGCCATGGCGATGAATTTGAGACCCTGAAACTTGTTGCCATGGCGATGAATTTGAGACCCTGAAACTTGTTGCCATGGCGATGAGTTTGTAGAAGAAAAGCAGTGGAGGGCTAACCATTTTAGCTAATTTTAGAAATGCAGAATAGCTGAAAAGTTTTGGACTCTTGTCATGAAATTCTAAATTTGGCCTCGTTTGCCTAGTAACATGGACATTGTTCATATATATTAAAAAGGCGCTACAAACTTAACCCAACCATAAATTTTTACATAGACGAGGGAAGCTCTGTCGAACTCTGTTAGTTTTGCTTTATTCTTTGGATTTGTTCACGATTTTACAAACTTACTGTGATACATTTCCTCTACAGTTACAGGAACTATAACTAACTAACTAACTAACTAACTAACTAACTAACTAACTAACTTTACACCACCTCACTTCAAAAATACAAAACACACTTGTAAATTATGTAAGCTAAATTAATAAAACAAAGACATGACAACAAGTTAAATGTTATAATGTCAGAGCTAAAGGAGTTAAGACAGAAACCTTTTTTTTTCGTAATGCAGTTGTAAATAAAATGATTTTTTAAATCTTAGAAAATGAAGGATTGCATCTGTGAAGAAGTCACTCAGCATGTCTGTGCAGAGACATTCAGGGAACCCTCCTCCTCTGAGCTCGTTGTCATATTTTGGAAGTAATTAGCATGTCTCTTTAAACTAGCTGGCTCTGTCTTTCACGTGTTGATGGCGCAACTATCCCACAGAAGCTGTAAAAAGCTGCGTTTTTGATTAACACAGCAGCAAGTTATTTTAAATCAGACATCATTCTAGTTGGAGCTGTGATGGGCGGGCACTAATTTAATAGTTGAGTGAAAATGACCAAACTAGTAGAGTGTAACCGTTGCGACGAATTTCACTGTCAGGTTGCTAATTAGGGGAAAATAAATGACTTCCCGGGTCAACATGATTCTTAACTGTACTCTGTTGTGATATCCTGCTATTAACTCAGCCCTGCAGTCACTGTTTCCTTAGTAAGAACTGCAAGTCAAAGGATTGTTTTGCTCAACAATATCTGTGCGGTTCTGGGGTTTTTTCACAGTGGTATCTGCTGCAGTTCGAGTCAGACATCTGCAGTTCACTGATCTTCTGTAAAGACTTGCACACACACTCACACAAGTTTCACTAGCTGAACATTTCACCCTGTGCTTTTTGTTTTTCTGGGCTCAGTCAGAAACATTGTTTACTGATTGCAGATGAATCTTAAGTTTGTGTGTGTGTGTGTGTGTGTGTGTGTGTGTGTGTGTGTGTGTGTGCGTGCGTGCGTGCGTGCGTGTTTCCATGTGTAGCATTCACACCAACCCACAGCCTGATGTTGGATTATACGGTTTGTGTGAATTTTTATCTGCTGTGGGAATGTTTTAGAAAACTTTGACTGTGTGGTCACTGGGGGGTTCATGTAGATATGAAACTATTCATTCTGAAGTTCCTCAAACTCAGCATGACCCAACTCACATCTTTTAAAACTTTGCAAAGGAGAGCTGGGTGAATTTAACACCATCTTAGTTCTTCTGAACCATGAAATATATTTGGATTTGGGGTGAAACTTTCAAGGTCCCACATGTTCTTCACTCCATACTCAGAGTAACCTTTTCTTTTCTGTGTCTGACAGACTGTTCTGTCGCACAGTAAGCTGATCAGTAGGGGGAAAGCTTTCACATCAAACTGCTTTGTGTGTGACATGGAGCTGATAAAGAGTTTGTGCTATAAACCAGTCACAAGGACAAACAATGGACTGCTGCTTTCTGAGCCGCACTGAGAGTCAGATCCAGTTCATCCTTTATTTAACGGAGTAACAACTTTTGTTAGCAGCTGCCATGAGCATCGCTGGCTAAAACAGGAACTTGTGTTTTGGATTCAGTACAACATGAAGATCGGTCTTCCTTCAGTTAGACTTTCAATGTCCTCGTTTTAGGGCAGCAGGATTGGTGAAAGGAAACAACCCGATCCTGAATCCGCCTACTGATTGGATGATACTGTAACTGAGAGGAAATGATGGGAATTGATGCAGAATCTAATTTAACTCTGTATTATTCAATATGACCTGTTTATGTGATAACATCTGAAGTAAACTGGTAAAATAACACAAACTAAACTGAAATATTGCAGCAGTCACAGAAAACAACTTGTTTCAACTCAAGCTATCTAAGCAAAGTTTTATGTTAAGTTGCTGTTCAGCTGAATACAAACACACCAAAGACTGGATCACCCTGTGGAAATCACATCAAATGTCAAAATCTTATTCCTTTAACAAACATTACAAACCAACAGAGGAGACATTGTGAAGACTGAATCCTGTGAAACTGAAATAGTTTAAGATGTGACTTCATATCCATGTAGGAGACCAAATCATTACCTAATGAAGTAATTGATTGCTTTTGCTTGTTGTTGGTCTTTCCAACCCACTACTCTTATAGGTCCACATGCATCTATTTGCAGACGTATCTATGCAGTCCCCATAAAAAAAAAATCTATTCTTAATTTATGGTTTATGCGGTTGCTCCATCTGCAGTAAGTAGGAGGTCTCACCTTGCTGACACACACAGTCACATTCTGGTTGAGGTCCAGAAATCAAACCAAAGGGATGACGACAACGCTAGAGTGGGCAAAGCATCGGCCCCTGTGTGTGTGCGTGTCTGTGAATATCTGTGTTTCGCTCAACTGGACACAATTACAACACACTGACACATGGCCCAGTAGCATGTCAGCAACACCATTTATGCTCTGATACTTTATTTTCCCAATACAGAGCCAAGCATGCAAGCACCCCCCTAAATCCACCCACCCCTCCACCCTCCATTAACACTCCCCCCCGCATCCTGCAGACCCCCCCCCCACCTTAGCCCTCGCAGAAAGCCAGGCTCTGGTCTGAGTGCTCCTGAATGCTCCTTCTTCCACAATTTTAATAAGACTTATGATAGCAGAAGGCGAGACAGAGCGCAGGAAAAGATATTGAGACAAAGAGAGAAATAAAAAGAGAGAGCCTTGTAGTCCCTCTTACTTAAACGTTTCTGTTCTGACTCCCTCACAGTATAAGGAGTATTTATACACTGAACTAGGCCAGTTCGTTCAGCATGATGGAGGGTAATAGCACACTACTATGTTTATGCACTTTTCAAAGTAGCATTTATGCACATCTCTGCAAGATTTATGCTATTCTGTATTCATTTCTACATGTAAACCCTCTGAATACTGATTAGAGGATTTGCTGGATTGGCTTTTACTGGTCAGTAGTTTGGTGTTGTGTTGTCAGGGAGGAGACTGAATCACATCCGAAAGGCATGAGAAAAACAATGGCAGACAAATATCTCTAGATTTATGTTCATGGAGAAACACATCCTTAATTAGAAATGTTTTTATAATGTGTCTGATCTCTGAGATGTTCAGTCACTGCTGAAGGGAAAGGCTTGGCAGGTAGAGAAAATGTTTTTCATTGAACAAGAAGTTGGTAGGAACGAATGTGAGGAGAGAAAGAAAAGACATGCAGGAAACTGATGTGAAACCAGAGATTCAGCCCAGAACAGCCATATAGAGAACCCAGTGACTCACAGGCTTTCCTTAAAAAATCTAAAGCTAATGCACACATTTACAACATCAGATGCTTGGCTTGTGTCTGAAAAATGTTAAATTAATGGTTAGATTAGTAATTATATGAATCTGTGCTTGAAATCCTTTCATACCATAGCAGACAATAAGAAAGTTATATCTATTAATACTTTTGTGGTTAGTTATACTTCAGTTCCATGAGGTTTTTAGTAGGGATGCTGCAATCAGGAATTTTGCTGCCGATTCCAATTCCGATCTCCCGTCAGAGCCAATCACTGCCGATCACTGGTCATTGCCTGCACACGCAGGCTGCGAAGTGAGATACAGCTGATTGGTTTAGGTGGTCAGCAACAAGAGATAGTGATCGATTGGTGATCACTGATCATACACTTTTTCATGGAAATCGGCCGATTATGATTGGTGGCTGATCGATTGGCACACCTCTGGTTTCCAGTGATT